AAGAAATCACTTTTGTCCATGTGATGAACTAATGAACAGGGCTGTCCTGCATGGGAGATGCCCCTGACTGTTCAAAAGCAGCAAGGACAGTCCCCTGAAAATACATCCTACGCACCAAAAGTGGCAAGGAAATTTATTCTTTTCCCTGTTTTTACTGGTTTTCCTATGTCTTTTTGCTGTGTCTCTCTGTTTCTTTTCTCTTTTTAAGTATTACTCATCTGGAATCAAATTCCATGAGATTCTGAAGAGGACATCTAACTCTGAAGTTCTGAAGTTTAAGAATTTGATTCATCAAAGGTCTGTGAAGAAATAAATGTTTAGGTTTTCTTTTATTCAGGAAGGTAGCCTGAAACGCATGGATGTCAGAAATGGACTTTTCTCCATGTTGGTCCTGAATATTAAAAAAGTTGTAGCTGTGTCCTGGAGAGATTTTTGCTTTTTCCAGAACACTTTATGACCTCTTTTAAATAGAAAAGCACTGGAGAAAAATAGGATGAAAACTGCCAACATCCTTGGTCTAGAGAGCTGATTTCCTTCATCATTTAGAAGGCAATTGTGAGCCTGAATACAAAAAAAGCAACCTGATCTCATAGCTCAGTAATCTGTGCTTGGTGACAGAGATCTCTTTAGGCTTGTTACACCCAGTAGATGTGTGTTTTTTTTAAATAATTTTAATAGTGTTACTGTTGATCTGAGCTCCTCTGCTCCTGAGTGTTACTTGAGCTCCATGCCTGAGGAGCAAGCATAAAGCAACTTTTCTGCTATGGGTAACTCTCCACCCATTGCCTCCTTTCCCACAGGAAGTTCTCTTTAAACTGAGTGCCATGGTTTAACTCCAGCCAGCAACTGAGCACCACACATTCTGCCACTGAGGGACGGGGGAGAGAATTAAAAGGAAAAAGTAAGAAAATTCATGAGTTGAGACAAAGGCAGTTTAAGAGGGGAAACAAAAGTCACTCACACAAACAAAGCAAAACAATTCACCTCTTCTCATGGGCAGGCAAGTGTTCATCAGACAGTTCCCTAGTTCCTCAGTAACTGGGAAAAACAAATTCCAGAGCTCTGAACAACCCCTCTTCTTCCTCCTTCCTCCTTGTGTCTCAGCTGTTCCCATCTCCCAAGAAGCAGCAGCTACTGGGGGCTCAAGTCCAGTAAGACACGATCTTAAACAATGAACTGCAACTTCTGAAGGCCACTGAGTACAGGGAGAGGCAGAACTGGGCTTCTCCACAGAGTTGGACACCACCAGTTTCTGAAAGCAAAGTGAGCTCACTGTGACCCTAGAGCATCAGCTGGGCTCTCACCAAGGGTGGAAGGCCTATTCCTATCAAATGCTACGAGGTACAGGGGTTTGAAATTCCGAAAGTTTCAACAGACCTGACCTGCACTTAGATATCAACACACTCCAGATGGTTCATTAACCAAGACATAGATATTGCATGGCTGCCAGGAGCCTTTCCTAAGTCAGTGACAAGAGAATTTGCAGCATGGCAGAGCTCTGCTTCAGAGGTGATGTTTTTCATCTGTTGTAATTTTTAAAATGCACAGTGTGTTTACATACAAAGAGAAATGATGAATGTGCATTGGCAGGGGCACACTCAACTTGTTCATGAAGTATCACAAAGAGGCTGGATCATATGCTATTTCAGAACTATTGTCCAAAAAATAGAGGCAATCTGGTGATTTCTTTTAATGTCTTAGTTCTAAGTTAACAAACATGTGCCCAGTGGCTCCCACTGAAACAGGACTGGGCCTTAGCAAAGTCAATAGTTTATTTACTAACTAAGAATAAAGCACACAGGAATATGTTTGTAGATGTTAGCAATGCTTTTCATTAGCTGAAGATGCCATTAGGTTATGATCATGGTATGCTTATTCATTAGTTTCAGTGAAATTCACAGGCCTGTTTGCAGAGTGAAAGTAACAATGAGACTTGGTGGAGAAAAATAAAGAGAAAAGCAGAAACTGTGCATTCACCCCTTTGAGAAGGAGGCAAAAAAATCCAAACCTACAGCTGAGATGATTTTGTGCCTTACCAAAAACATGTCAAAGTAACAGAAACTACTTTGAAAGGTGCTAAGTTTCTCTTGCCCTAAAGCTGTTATCAATGGCAGTTGTTAAAAAGTGTCTCCTATATACAGTTTAACCATTGGCAAAGTTAACTACTTTCCTTGCTAAATGTGCTTAAAATTTAGGCAGATTAATTTGTTTCTGTCGGGAAAAAGGAATAGTTTCAGTCCCACCGTATTCTCTTCACAAGACTTTTTCTTTACTGTAAATCTCTATAGACTATTGAATTGCCTCATTATTTAATACATTCTTCTTTCTACTTGGATACATGAAAATAAGGGGGATTGCTTTTCTCCATGCTTGAACAGGACTCTGCCATCTTCCCTGCACCCCTGTTGAGATGCCTTCACTCACCCTGCTGGAGCACCTCGTTTGCCTTTCCCAGTGCCCAGGAATTGCACCTTTCCCATTCCCTGGGCTTGGTAAAAGGCAACACTCACAAATCACACATTTTTTGTGAAGAAACCCACATCAGGTGACATTGCTGCTGGTGATCAGAGAAAATTAATGCAACCTGGGATTAGGAAGGGACATCCCCTGTCATTACCCGGGCGTATAGTAGCTCATAAAAGCAGTAATTTAAGGAAGCCCTCCTATTTTGCAGAGCCTTTCCATGGCCGGGTGTGGGCTCCTGGACAGAGCAGCAGCTCAGATGAGTGAGGAGCCAGGGAAGGACCCTTCCAGGTGAGATGCTGCAAACACTCGGCAAGCTGACGGAAGATGGATTTACGCTGAGGAGGAGCAGTCTTGTCCCGTTGTCTTGGTTTCCTTTTCTAATGACGTTGTCACACTATTTTCACAGATGATCCTACTGCATAGCTGGCTCGCAAAGGGTTAAAATGGTGGGCAGCATCTGTACTCTTAAAACTACATGCGACAAAGTCCATTGCTTGAAGTCTGGGTCCTTTCTACCCCCCGCCCCTCCCCAGCTTCCAGTAATCATTTATTATTAGAGGGGTTTTATGATACAAATTTGATAATCTCCCATACACATTGGCACTGTTCTAATTGGAGTTGTAAGCCCATAAAATTCAAGCCCTTTGTTTTCGTGAAGGCCACAAGGTTTTAAAAGATGCTATTGTACCGCCTAAAACCCATAAAATTGTCACTAGGGACTGATTAAACAGTCCTGAATCGAAACAGTGCGGATTTTGTCTAGGTCCTTTTCATGCACAACAATGCTCTTTTCAACCTCCAAGACAAAAGGAGGTTTAAGGAGCGATTCTCTAGGAGATTCTTCTAAGATAACCCCATCCATATGGGAGACAAGGTGGCCAGCAGCTGAGACGAAAAAAAAAAGATTTCGGATGGCAGGAGGAAAAATAAAGGGAAAGGGGCGGGGGAAGAACAACAACAACAAAAAATCAAAACCCACCAACCAACCAACCAAACAATAAAGCCAAACCCAGGTGACACAGAAGCTGTTTCCCCAGGTCCTCCCGCACAGCCCGGAGGCCTGGTCCGCTCTGTGCCTCTGTCCTGGCACACGGCCTCCTGCCCAAGCAGGGAAGGAGACGTAGGTGGGAGGGCTGGCGTCCCTTCGCTCTCCCCAGCCTGTCCTCACTGTAGCTGCGTCTGATCCTCCCGCACCGAGGGCAGAGGCGACACCGAGCAGCCCAGGTGGAGGGTGCGAAGCCCCGGAGTAAGGCAGAGCTGGGAGGAGAGCGGGGCCGTTCCGGCTCGGGAGGCGGCCGAAATCACCCACGGAAACTGGTGCGTGCTTTTGGTCGCCTCCTCATCCGCGACGGCAGCACCTCCCAGCTTCGCTCTCCGTGCGCTCCCCGGCATGTATAGGCAGCACACCACATCCCAGGGGCATACCGCGTCCAAAATGATCTCCTTACAGGGAATAAATAAAAAAAAGTGTAATAAAATCCCCACTTAAATATCTTCTGCGGGTCCCTTTCCGTCGACACCTTTTCCTCGGCGGCCACGTTGTCTGCATCAGTCCCCGTGGGGTCTTTGCCCCAAATATTCCCTCAGCGTTCGTGGTCCCCAGGTGCCGTCGGAGGGATGGAGGCAGCCGGTCTAGTCCATATTTCAGGGACCTGGATTTAGCTTTGTAGGGAGATTTATAGGGTTTTTCCCCATTGGCGGTTGGCAGATAATATATATTATTATTTTCACCCCAAAGCAATAAAATCAATAGTTTATCAAATAGTTTCAAAACATAATTTTCTTGGCTATCCTTCCCCAGTCGAAATTTGGAACTGTTTCAGGCTAACGGAAAGATTGACTTAATTCTGGATCCTGCCATAGTGCCTATATGGAAGACATCGCCGTTTAAAACACAAAGTCGTGGGAGCCCGCTCGCCAGAGTGGGAGACCCTGGGCTCATGCTTCCCATAGGAATTACGACCGCATTTACAGTGAGATGCTTGCAGCAAAATTTATTTGCCGTTTACCGGCTCATATGGATAAAATAAAAGAACTCGAAAGTCAAATTCGACTGGAGATATTGAGACAAGTATTTAAGATTTTATAGCACAGAAGGCAATCCTACGAAACAGTCCCCAATCGTCAAAACTACACTTCTCCGCCGGGAAAAATTTATTTGCCAAAAATCATTTTATTAGTCACTGGAAGAGTCAGCTATTTTAAAACACACTAGGTCGCTAGGATGATCATTAATTTTTAACAAGAAATCTCTCGAACAGGAGGAGGAGGAGGAGCGGAGGTTTTACAAAATTCGCGCCTCACGCGGCATCCTCGCCCTCGGGTGAGGCCGGTGTAGGGGAGCGTGGCCCCGGCCAGCTTCGTCCCGGCTGCCGCCGCCCCAGAGCCGCGCTCCGCCGCCCGGCCCGCCCGAGCGCGGCCGCGCCGTGCCCCGGCGCCTTCCGCGGCGCCTTCGCCGCGCTACAGCCCGGGGCTGGGGCGGGCGGCCCCGCGCCCGTGGGATGAGTCCGGCCCCAGAGGGCTGAGTGCCGCTGTCACCATCCCCAGGAGACCACGGCCGGGTGCGCTAAGTGCTGGTACGCGGGGAAGACGCCGAGGGCGGCGGCGGGCGGGCAGGCTCGGTAGCCCTGCAGGGCGAGGGCGGCCTGGGCGCTGCATCCCGCCAGGGCGCAGCCCAGCTTGGGGCGCGCCGCGGGAGCCGGTGGGCTGGCGGGGCAGCCGCGGCAGGGCTCCCCGTCCCGCACCAGCACCGGCACCACCACCCGGCGCAGCAGGGCGGGCGGGCGCGGCTGCGGGCTGCCGGGGCCCTCGCTTCGCGCCCGCTTCATCTTGTAGCGGTGGTTCTGGAACCAGATCTTCACCTGTGTGGGGGTGAGGCTGAGCAGCCGGGCCAGCTGCTCCCGCTCCGGCGCCGAAAGGTATCGCTGCTGCCGGAACCGCCGCTCCAGCTCCAGCGTCTGCGCCTTGGAGAAGAGCACTCGCCGCTTCTTCTTCTTCTCCTCGGCCTCCGAGCCGCGGGCGGGGAGCGACCTTTGGGTGGAGTCGGGCAAGCTCATCTCCGGGCCGCTCTCGTCGGAAGCTGGGGACAGCGAGTGGGTTAGAGAGAGGGAGCAGTCCGGGCCAGGGAGCGCGGCAGGCATCGAGGAGGCCGCCGAGAGTTGAAATGCCTCTCGCGGGGAGAGCCCCGTCTGTCTACCGGGCCGGATTAATCCCAACAGTCAAGGAGAAATGTGAGCTAACCCCACGAACACATTAAACCGAGCCCACGGCACGGAGCGGGCTCTCGTCCGGGCTGGGACCCGCTTTTCCCCGCCGGCAATCCCAGCAGGGGCGCGGCCGCTTCGCCGCGCACAGCCCGGGGATTGCGGGCTGCAGCCCTCGTGTTCCCTGGGTACTGAAACGGAATATGGGGCTCCCCGCTCCTTTCATAACTGCTTTTCGCTCGCCGCTCGATTACCTTAATATTTAACCTATCCCGGGGGTGTTCCCGCACCCATTCAAAGGACCATATCCCACTGCGCACCCTGTATACACAGGTATACAATAAACACCGTGTATCTGTGGCACAATTTATGCGTGCGAGGTGCGACCCATATGCTGCACAGCTGGGTTTGCGAGCCGGAGCCCGCCCGCCGCGCTGGCAGGTGCGTGGATCGAGGCGGCAGCTCGGGGAAGCGAGGCACGGGGGTGCTCAGCTTTCCTCTGCGGAGCGTGGGGTGGCCCCAAACCCTTCAGCACAAAAAGACAGGATTTCTTGCAACAGTGGAACGGGGGTAAAAAACTAATCCGGGAAGTAGGCTTAAACGATAAGCGCACAGAGAGTGGTGGACGCAGGCTGAGATTTTGGTTTCTGCCATAGCTGGGAATATGCACTGATCTACCAAAAAGCCCCCAAAAAGCCTCCCAAAATAGCCCACAACAAAACCCAAACCATCTTTTCTGTCTTAAGATCGTGCCCGGGACATTTCTGCTGATTCGTTGTTGCAATTCAGTAATATTTTATAAAATTCCCAGCCTGGACTCCCTCGATCCTGTAGGCTATGTACACTGTCAATTCGCTGCTTCGCATCTTCGTCAAAGGAATTGGGGGGAAACAAATAAAAGATAATTGTGCGGAGGTGGCGAATTCCTGTCCGTTTTATACTCACAGGGATAGTGATTTCTGTCTGTTTCTATCCACCCTCGATACGGCGAGCCGGTGTAGTTCTCCGCTGAGTGGCGATGGTCAGAGGCTTGCTTTATGCTATTAGCATCCTGCTCTGGTAAATCCAAAATGCTCCTCACTGTAAAACTGATCCTCCCAGATGTGGCCATGGTAGGTTGTGCACACACCCCCAAAAAAATATCACCCCAAGCCGAATCCCCTTCCTTAAAAGCTGCGAGGAAAGGATTGCGTCCAGTTAGTGGGGAATCTCTCGGCTCGAGAGGACCTTCCTTTCCATCGCCACCTAACCTCAAATATTAGTGTCGTTTACAGAGGTGTCCTGTTTATATAAACAGTCCTCCCCACTGCAAACACTGCCTGCTTTCAAACCGTCCCTGTCTATAGGATGCTAAGTACCTGAATTAGTCAAGTGCTAAAGCCCTAATGGGAGTAGGTGTAACCCCCCCCTCCGCCACCCCCATGAGAGAATAACCCGTTACCTCCCAAAGACAGCAGGAAACAGGCGTCATCATTACATATTCTGTCTGATTAGCCAAAAGTGGGGACAGATAATGGTAATTGTTAGCAGTGAATAACATCTTGGGTGGCATGTGGATGACCAACAACCACCCCCCTCCATCCGCCACCGAAGCCACCAGCGTCCCTTCTATCCGCAGACAAAGTGAATCCTCCCAGGACATCCGCAGAGCATGCCGAGAGCCCCCTCCCCACTTCTCCCTCTTTATTTCCCCCCCTCTCTTGCCTCTTTCTTTAAATCTGGATGGAATTTATGTCGTTATTTGTTTTATTTGCCGGACTGTTCGCAGTGCTACCTCAAATTCTCTTCTTGTTGTTGGCAGGTTTCTTACCCTCAACGGGGCATTTTTCACACCTCGACTGGGCTCTCGGCGGGGAAGGCTGGCGGGTGTGCGCGTTAAGGAATGGGATCTCTGGGATGGGGTTTTTTTGCGTCTCCTGGGCATGGTAGATGGAAGGTGCACCTTTTTCTCGAGAAAGATGATAGCGGGAGATTGGCATACTCGGTCCATGAGGAAGAGTCAGGAGGGGGGTAGGGGTGATTTTTTTTTTTTAATCACTAACCCAGGGAATATCTCATCGGGCGGGGTGTGTGAGTGATGAAACGACTCCAGCTGGGGAGGGGGAGAAAAGATCAAACACGGTGCGTCTATTTATCCGCGCCGTCCCTGCCGACCGCCGCTTCATCTGCCGAAAGAGGCAGCAAAGGAAGCCGAGGACCGGCGCCCCCCGGGAGGAGGGTGCTGACACTGTCTGGGCGCGGTTCGGGGACGCTCCGCAGGACAAGCACCTTCTCTCAGCTTCACCTCCCCTCCTTCTTTCACCGGGCGGCCCTGTCCCCTCGCGAAGCTGTGGCCGGGTTTTGCCCAGCCTCGATGGCCGCCGAGGACTCATAAGTAAACACGGCACAGAAAGAAGCAGCCCAGCGTGCCGTTCAAACGCAGGCCCGCGGTGACAGGGCTCGGTCCCCGGCGGCAGGGCGGCGGTACAAGTGACCGATGGGGGCGATGTTTCCCGCGGGTCGCGCAGAGGGCGGAGGCGGGACACGCTGCCCTTCCCCACCGCTCCCCGCCGCCTTCGCGGGAGGCACCGGCGCACGCCGCGGAGAGCAGCGGGAGGCCAGTCCGGCTGGATGGAGCAGAGCCTGCAGAGAAGGAGGCACCCAGGCTCTCCCCAGCAGATCAGCTTTCCTTTGAACGCGGGCCGAGGCTCTCACAGCGCATCCCCGACGGGGGAACGTCGCGAACCCCTGCGGCGGTGCCCTGCGGGCCTGCAAAGGGAAACTCAGACACACGCGGAGATACTCTTCTCTCCGGCCGCTTTGTCGGTTCTTGTTTCCCTGTCCAAACAGGCATCTATAAGCTATTGTGTATAGATTATATCTATCCAGCCCCTCTCTCGTTCCCCAGACCTGCTGCCCGCGTGCCCCCGGCCGCGACCGCCCCTCCCCGCCCTGGTCTGGGTGTCGCCTCTGGGAGCAGTTACGATTCCCGGGGAAAATGTCAATGAGCAATAGCGGCGAGGGAGAGGTGAGATTTATATCGGCGAGATTTGTGGGCGAGATGAACGGGGCACAAGGCTTCATTTGGCCACCTTCCCGCATATTTCTTCGGGACTGGACAGGCTCCATATAAACGATTCCCAGGCCGTGATTACTGCAGCCACCTATCAAGCGTGCCTGGTGACAGTAGTTATCTCCCAGCTCCGAGCACAGCCTCCCAGCCGTCCTGGGTGGTCGGAGCGAGGGGAGCACAAATACATGCCAACTGCTAGGCCGTGAACAAAAGGGAAATGTAGCCCTATGTCCCGGACCTGTTGGAAGCATTTGTTCCAGTCAAGATTTTGCATTTGTTCAGATCTGGAATAATAGGTGATTGACGCCTTCCCACAATGTGCTTTAACTCTCCGGGATAAATCGGAGCTTGTTCCTTGTTGTCATGGTTTTCAATAGGGTTCAATGGGATTGAACCACTATCGACTCTGCTTTACGTCTCCGGCAGCCCCGTCCATACAAATTTATTAGTTACGTCTTTTTAAATGAGATTAAATTGAAACGACGTGTCCGTCCTCGGCGGAGCGGCTACTCCCGCGGTCGCCCCTGTGTCCCCTTGGGCCCCGAGTGCCCGTGTCACCGCCGGGGCAGCCCAGGCCCGGCGGGGGGACAGGGGCACGGCCCCCCCGCTGCCAGGTACGGCCGCGCTCACCTGCCCAGGCCCGGCCCCAGCGCCGCCGCTGCCCCGCGCTCCCGAGCGCCCCGGCTATAAAAGGCGACCGAAAAGCGCTTATTAATATCTTGACCCCACAGGCAAATATTTGCTGAATGCCTACGCAGGAGAGGAGCTTCGGCAGGCTCGACCAGAGCAGGGGAGGGGGCCGGGGTTCAGAGCGCCACAAACTTATACAGTATCCGAGGTGGCTCTTAAGAGGAGTTTGCCAAGGACACTCGAAAGAAAGTGCAAAAACTTTGCAAGGAAAAAAAGTCAGGATGAGAGAAAGAGAGTCTACTTCAGTGACCTCTCTTAGCCTTTTAATCTATTTAACATCCTAAGCCCACACTGATGTGTAGAAATAAGTAAATGGTACTCTTCAAGCCTTAAGAGCTCTTCAGCGTCAAATATTTGCACTTACTCTTAGAGTTTTTTCTCAAATAGCGCAAGACACATTCCCCTTGGACGAGCCGAGCTGTCTAAATATACCTACGCATTGTTATCTGCGGGGAATGGTTTGCTTCAAAGGCAGAACGTAATAACCCGAAATGTTTCATCTCTTGGTTTGCTTGAGACAGACTTGGACGCTTTTCAGCTCTGGCCGCCCGGCCTCATTTCGGGGTTTGCCGGTTCACATTTCACTCTCTCCCGCCAGACTCCCGCGTGTCTGCCCACGGGACCCTGGAGCTGCCGTTCCCGTGGGGAGGCATCCTCGGACCGAGAGGTGGGTTTGCCCTCACCTCTCTGTACCGGCCGCTTCGGCGTCCCACCGAGAGCCGCCCCGGCGGTATCCACGGGAAGAGAAGGGGCAATCGTTTCTCCGGGGCTGTAAGAAGTACGCGGCAGGGCCCACGGTGTGCTCCGCCCGCAGGTGCGCTGGGGTCCTGTGGCAGGATCCGCCCCGCGACGTGGGCCCGTCTCTGGGGGCCACGGGATGAGACCTTGTTGGCCTCCGTGGGCCCTTAGGGGATGGCTGCGTGCGCCCTCCAGATAAATCCACAGAAACACTTCGCTTCCCCCAGGCCCTCGCCCATTTGAATGAATTTTCACCTTTCCAAGGGGCTTCATTTTTTTTTTTTTAACTTTGCTTGTTTTCACACTGCACGCCGCACGCTTTTCCGCTCATCCGCCGACGGCCTCCTGTGGCTGCGGCTCATGAGAGACGGGCTAGGGGAGTGAGGAGCCCGGAGCCGGCCGTGTCCCCGCAGCGCTGGAGCTGACGAAGCGCGGGCGCGGTGGCCGTGGCGCTCCTGTGGCGGACACCGGCGGAGACAACCCCGCAGCATGGACCGGGCTGCTCCCCGCGAACCGGAGCCTCAGAGCCACCGCGCGGTTTGCTGCCCGAGAGGCGGCCCGGCCGGCTCAGGGTACCGCGGCCCTACCAGCCCCCGCCGCAAAAACACCTCCGACCACCTCAGAAAATAGCGGCTTTTTCTATAATTCCTTTTTTTCCCCCCTTCCTACTTGAATGGGTTCATTTACTGTGCTCAGTGGAGGATTGCAAAGCAGATTGACCAAATCGATGTATGTGAGATGCAGAAATCAAGTATTTTCCTACACCAGTTTGTCGTCCCTACACTTTCATAGAGGAGGAGAGAAAGGAAAAAAAAAAAAAAAAGAAAAGAAAATATTATCAACACAGAGTCTGTCTGGCTCTAATTGGTGTAGTCCCGGCTTTAAGGAGGACCTCTCCACACTGTATCTGCAGGGGCGTTAAATGCAATACTCTGAAGTGACTGAAATGAAAACCTGATCTCACAGAATTTAATGTGAATTTTGGAATTTATTTTTAAACAGGCAAAATTCCAAATTTTTTTTTTTTTAAAAACAGGCAAAATTTCAACTTTTATGTAAAAACCAAAGAATTCTTTACTTCATTTTTTCCCAGTAATGAATTTTCCCATAACTTTAAACCCTTTTCCTTCATTATCTGAAAATAGTATCTTTTATCTTTCCCTCTCAACTACAAACCAGCTTTAGACTTTGAAAATTAATATAACCCCTTATTTGTCTTTTTGCTTTGCAGCTGATACTCATTGTAATACACTTTCTAATTAGGGCAAGACTGTGGAAGACATGGAATATACCTTACAGGAAAACTGGTTTCTATGTATTTCTGTATGTTGTATTTGTCTCTCCTTCCTTGTAGAACAATGACATTTGCTGTGCACATTTCTTGATACATCTGAACAACCTGCACCAGCTCCTTTATTTCTTTTTTTTTTTAAATGACTAAATACATCGACTTTAACCTATTAAGAACTTCAACAAACAAAATAAACTTTCTTTTGTAGCCAACTTTGTGTTTTGCTTTGTGGGTGGTTTTTTTGGGGGGTTTTTTTTGGTTTTTTGGGGTTTTTTTTTGGTTTTTTTTTTTGTGGGTTTTTGTTGTTGTTGTTGTTGTTTTTTTGTTTTTTTTTTCCTCC